CCCTCTTCTTCCTCTCTGGCACCCCCCCAACAGGCGGAACGCCAGGGCCCGGTCGCAACCGCGACCACTGCGTCCCTGGTAGTGCCGCCAGTGCTGTAATTTGTAGTCCTGTATAGCTGGTGGTAATCTGCGTTCCTGTCTATTCATTATACAGTTATGCAGAATACCACCAGCTGGACATTTTACATGAAGTCAGCATACCACCCCCCACAGTCTCCCACCCCCCCCCCTCCCCGCCATCACCCATAGGGGCTTACCTTACTCCTGCAGAACCTCTTTCTTCTGAGTCCTTGGTGGCCAGGGGAGGGGAGGAGCACAGGAGAGGGTCTTCACAATGACCCCAACAGCAGGATGTGGTGGCCTGGTGGTGCCTGCAGAGTCTGTACAGGCACCACCAGGCTAAACACTCCTTACAGGCATTTACAGAGCCACCTGTCCCATTCCCACACAGCCACCGCTGGAACATACAGCTGTCACTGTCAGAGTTTACTGCAGTTCAGTGTAAAAAAATGGCACAGTACTTGTACTGTGCCGTTTTTTTTACACTGAACCGCAATAAAGTCTGTGACAGCTGTATGTCCCCGCAGCGGCTGTGCGGGGATGTACTGTGTCACCAGTACCGCGGGTGGGAGATTCAGGGAGCGGCTCTATCTCGGGGGGGCATTTGCCCTGTTGCCCCCCTGGATCCGCCACTGATGTCGGCGTCTGTGGCGCTGGACGTCGGAGGCGCTGAGCGGAGGAGCGTCACTCTGTGGGCGGAGTTCCAGGCAGTCTCCGCCCACCTACATTAGGACCCCAGCTGGAGCTCCGCCTACAGCAGTGACGCGACGCTCCTCCGCACAGCCAGCCCAGAGGACTCCACCACAGAAGGTAAAGTATAACAACAACAAAACAAAAAAACAGCACAAGCATCGGCGCTATGCATCGGGGCATTTTGACAAGTACTTGTCAAAATGCCCTGTATCGGGCCCGATTCTGATGCTAGCATCGGTATTGGGACATCCCTAATACTTAGGTTAAATTGGTATAACATATTCTTTAGATTTGTTACATGTTGCCATTCACATTGCATAACTTGAATAAGGGCTTAAAATCCTGCTTAGCTTCCTCATTATATAATATCAAGGAGTGAGCTGAGGCAAGGTACGTTTACACTAGTTAACACTGTATGTACAGTGCTGGCAGATAATATCAGTTTTAAACTAGATTTGAGTACTGTCTGTCCTAACAAAGTGTTTAAAACCTAGACGTTTTGTATGCTAATGAGAAGAAGCTCAGTCTGGCCCTCAGTTTCTCCCTCTACTTTCACTTTTAAACTACTTAGAGTAACTTGGAATTTGCACAAATACCTTCACCAAACACATAAAAGGTAAAAATATTTTTAAGTATGTATTGTGAATTAAAACACTTAACAAACATATAGTGGGGTTTTCTCAAATTTGACTGCAAAAGTGGAAATACACTCTGGAAGTGGAAATACATTGTGGACCGCAAAAGCCAATCCACAGAACACATTACCCAAGTGTCAATGGATTTTCCATCACTTTTCCCCACCATTGTTTTCTCTAAGGTTCAAGTAATTCACAAGGAAGTCAATAGGGATACTGTAAAATGTACATTTTGGGAACCTAATAGGTATCTTGTAGCAGCAACCCACACCACAGTTTAGCCACTAAACTACACGTACCTTGGGGTCAGACTCACCTCTACCACTTCACTCTATCCACAGATTTAGATATAATTCTTTTATTTTTAGTCTGCTGTTAATTGGCCGAGCACAGCTTATGTCATCCTGAGTTGATTTTGTTTCCCCAGGAAGAAGAGCTTGTGTTGGAGAAAGTTTGGCCAGAATGGAGCTTTTCCTGTTTTTTACCGGCCTTCTGCAAACCTTCACTTTCTACCCACCTCCAGGAGTCTCCAGAGAAGATATAAGTCTCAAGCCTGGCACTGGATTTATTTTATTTCCTTTACCACACTTAGTATGTGCAAAGCTCAACTACTAGTCAAGATCCACGACAAAAGAGCAAGAAGGTCCTCAAACAAAGAGGTCCTAAATCCCCAATAAAATAGATGACACATTTAAGGAACATGTATTCATTTCAGTGTTTCTTTTAAGCTATACATATAGATACTATAATCTATGCCAGGGCTCAAAATTTCCACTTGTTTGCTCGCATTTGGCGATGGGAAATGCAGTGCAGGCGAGTGGAAATTCAGTCAGGCTTGCAGTCACGGGCCGCGTGCCTGACTGGTGGGAGCAGCTGCTCCTGCTGGGCTCTCCTTTCTTTCAGCCGCAGCTCTTCACTGAGCTCCGGCCAAAAACTAAGTATTTAGTAAGGTCTGCAGCAGACCTAATCACCAGGGATCTGCCTGTTCGCCTATTTAATATTTATTTTTGTAACTTTATTCTGCATAAAACATGTAACAGTGTAATTTATAAGATTATTTAAGAGGGTGTGTTTAGGGGTGGCCTTAAGGCCGGGGCAGGGTAGGGGTTAGGTGGGCAACTGGAGTAACTCTTAAGGCCTGGTTAGTAGCTCAGGACTTGAAATTTTGACCCCTGATCTATGCTACTAGATTTAGTGGAAAAATCAAAGTATATCTATCTTTTTTAAATTTTGGATAGAGTGGTGAGAGGTTAGAACCTCTGCTTGTCTCCTCTAGAGCGATTCTCTTCTCTAAAAAGGTGACAATGGTCCAGAAAAGAAAGACACTCTTTGGATGTGCACACTTATTCTGGTGAAAGCTGAGATTGGATTTTCCTGACCTTGCAGGGATTTCCTCTCACTTTCTGTTGTGTCTACAGAACAGGAAGTTAAAGGAAATTTATTTGGTGGGACAGGGGCTTTATCTACACCCTGCTCTATCCAAAGT